GGACAGAGCAAAAGAGTCCCGGGCGCATGTTATGCATCGAGGCTTTTCGACTCGGACACCTGCTCTGCTGGTCTCATGTTCAACCATGCCCTGCAGTGCCATCAGCCAAGAGACGGTTGTCGAAGACAGCCGGTGCCATTCGAAGTCCAGATATTTTTAAGGCGTTTCCGTTGACTGGTTTACAAACCACTAAACCAACTCGAGTTGAAGTCACAACGCCACGTGGGGGGCAACAAATCACGCGCTGCTGCTAAGCACCAGGTATGGTGCATTTTTTTTGTATACAGAAATTGATACTATTCTGCAATATTTATATTATAGCGGCGGCAGAGTTGCTGCGTGTGCGGCTTAAACGACTTCTGCTCTGTCTACATCCGTACTCCAGGCCCTGCTTCTAAGGACTATTTGTCTATGGCTTGTGGGCGACAACCTCGGGACGTTCGTTTACATCAGGCAATCAGACTGCCTTTCTCGGGTGAGACGGGGAGCCACATCTGAGCCACGTCGAGACGTCATCCCGACCCTGTGCCCCGTTTCTTCTGTGTACATGACACCTAGGATAGTGATGGTAATGTTCTGCATGGAGCGCTGAGGATGAACCTGCTAAAGTGTCTGTGTCATTATCCGGTCCCGCTGGACAGGCAATCCTTAGGTCACTACTTAGTAGGTAACGTCAGTTAGTAGTATCTAGGTCCCCGGTGCTATCGACGACACACATTGCCTACTCCCAGGAGACCATGTGCCTCTGATTTCCAGTCAGATCGCCATTCCCGTGACCGTCGCTGGACGTGTGCAGTGTCCACCACGCAAATGCTTATGTGAAATCAGCTTAGGCACGCACTGTTTTGGGAGTCTTGAGCATATCATCACAACATGCATCATGCCTTTGTCAGCGTGATTATAGTACGTTGGCTGTTCACCATCCCACTTCGCTTTGTTAGTCATGTCACATGTAAGAAACATCCTGACTCCACGATCTGGCCCATCGTCAATAAGTATAGGGCATTCAAATTCGATGGCTTGCTTTCTCTTACTTGGCATTCGTCCGCAGGACTGGTAACATCAATTGAAACCAATTTTTGCTGCTTAGCTTGTGGGGTTAAGGCCACCAGCAACTTGTATACACTCAGTTTACTGATTTTGCATTCCACGAATCAGTATAGCTACGGGATCCCTCGCATGTTCATCACGGGCTACACCGGTAGAGATGGCTCCAAACATCGGGAGCCTACGCCACGACAATCGTGTTGCTGGTTCCGTGGAATTGTGCAGCTCGACGAATTGGTGCTGTCCCATCTAGTGCCCGTGGCCGAATGCGACATCTTAGCAACAGGTGTTGTTATCATCCAAGTCTGACTTCGAGCAGATAACCGGCGTGATGAAATACCTCAGCCACGGGCTAGATAAGGGTGCAGGGTAGGTTGCTCTACTGCTTGATCTGCAGGAGATAGCTTAGCATGGGCTCGTCGCAAGCGTGTGCCCGGTGCCGTTCTTGTTTTTGGCTGTTTCAGCTTATTTAGGATCCTAAGACCGTTAGATGTGCACAGTTGTTAACTAGATGTAAGGTTTGTGATAGCTTGGCGTATCGTGTGGTCATAGCGTCCATGTTGTTATTCTGCTGGGGTCGACGAACCATCGACATCGGGAAGCATGTTGGGGCCAATATGGTGCGCGTAGTGTCGACGACTACAGCGCCCCGAGCCCAAGGCCACACAGATATCAATTGATACCAGACATACATCAATGTATCCATAGTAAAAGCCCGCTCAACAGGGAAAACTATTGTTGCACCCGCTAAAACTTGATTGGCGACATGTCGCACGGAATCCTCCATCTCGTGTCTGCCATGCCTCCGATGAGTGCCAGCTATGTCGAAGGAACATCAAAAAATGTTAATGTATGAACGGCACTCTTCAATAATGCGCAGCCGGCGAATTGTGTCGTGCAAGGTAACGGATTTCCTGTGGTATTGCGTTTATGCGACGCAATTTTGCGTTTGCGGATTAGCCTTGCCCGTGCTCTGATTTGCACTATGAAGAGCCTGCTAGGATTCACGATCAGGAACAAGCCTACAACATTCAGGCGGCTATAAGTCAACCGTTACGCATCGCATTAACTTAAATATGATGCATCATGCCACTCAATGCATAACTACTCTGATATGTCAGAGGATAGCCAAGTACATTTTGTTGTAACTGGCAGTTGTTGTCCCAACATGGGGAACTGGGTCAATGTCTTTACTCGGAGGCCTGCCCCTTTTTACGAAGATCGTCCCGGCGTTGGCAAATTGGGGCACGGCCACTGCAGTGGCGGAGCAAGAGAACCAAGCAATGCCTAATGTAAAGTGGATTGCTCCGTAACGACGGAGAATGCTTGATACGAAAAGAACCGAATTTGGCAACGATGTCAAGGTCAAGATGTGGTCAAGTCTCGTCTTGTCATCTCCGTAAACAAGGCATGAGGCTCAATGCAGGGTACAAGAGCATTCTAAGTAAGCTATTCATGTAGTCGTACGCAAGGACAAGAACTCATGGGTTGCAGGCGCTGGGACTTGATGAAGGGGTCCAAGACGGCTGGGAGCGAGGATCTGTGTTGACGTCAAGACGATCTGAATGGGAGTACATGGGCACTGGGCGGATACTATTTGTCGGATCATGTGCTATTGCGGGAAGGGGAGATTTGCAACATCAACTAGTACTATTACTATGCTTTTAGCTAATTTGGAGGTATTAGTTATCGCACGAATACCCTCTTGATATTTTAGACTGAATTACACCTTAATATTTATTTAATAACTTCTTTAATGTTATCTCCCGGATAAGTAGGGTTGATAGATTCAGCTACTGTATAACTAATATTAGCGTGTCAGGCGTAGGATCCGTCAAAGCATTGGATGAGGATCTTGTAATTTGTTACTCCATACTAGAATTATGTATTATGTTGTCTTGTATTCATTTAACCCCCTCCTGTCTATTGTAGGACCTATTATGGGATGGGTAGTAGTACTAGCCTATCCCGACTAGGTCGTAAACATTTTTTTTTAAATCCATTCAGAGCGAGATTTTATTACCTGGACCAGGATACCATGTCCGACATCCCCCCCTTTACGGTACTACCCAGTTTTACTTGGCGAACAAAGAGTGTATGGACGGCAGAGATTCTCAAGAAGGCTAGCTCCAGGTACCCGTGCGCCAGAGTCAGGCACAGCCTCTGGCCTGTTGCGTCAATGTGACTAGGCACTTCAGTGTCTTGCCACCAATAAACGCGTTTTCTCCTGAGCCACTCGGCCAATATGTATGTACTGTACTGTATGTATGTATGTACTATTGACTCCGTACGATACGGAGTAAGGAACTTCAGATGCCAAGGCAACCAACCATGTAACGTGCGTCCATTGTAGATTGCTAATACCGCTTGACTGTGCAAGTATGCAAGAGTCACCTCCATAGCAGAAGACGGAGATTTTGGAAGATTGCCCTAGTCCTCGACGAGGTATCTGTTGGCACACCGCAAAAATGCAGATTACGTGCTTTCCCTTCATTTTTCATGAGAAACAAAGCACAGCAGCGCCTATGCCGCGGCCATTTCTCCAATCTCTTCAGATGCTCACGAGCTTGCGGTCCAGGGGCAAGGGGCCAATCGGGCTTTATTACATAAGTATTTACTAGTATTAGGTCGGTAGCAATTCATCCACTTCAAGAACGCCACCACAAGCTCGCGAGCGCCTCAAGCAGTACGAAACAGACCCCTGCCAAAAAGCGTCTTCATCCATATCCTCCAGCTTTGCCGTGAACTCTAATGTATAATAGCAGCTACTCGCAAGCAGGCAGGGGCTATAGGGCTAGTAAGAGGAGTCTATGTATGATAAAGTAGGAAAGTGGAATGTTGTCTACTAGAGTACATGTACCTCTACGGAGTGCTCGTTTTTCTAACAGAGTGTCCAATCATCTGATGTCTCTCTATAGGAGATTAGCGACTTCACTATTTTTTTTTATTAACAACACGTTCCTCACCTAAACACGACATATTGATATTACTAGTGGATTACCGGCCCAATACCGTGCACACACTGTCCAGAATACAGTGAGTAATATCACTGCCCGTTCGCAGGTGGTTGATAATTCAGGGCTGGGATGCCTAGTACGGAGGACATACCCCCCTTGTGAGGTCACGGGCGATAACTACTTAAGTACCTAAGTAGGTACCTAGGTACATAGGGTTCAGTTGTAGTTTGTGCATACGTGCCTCATTTTAGTTCATGAAAAGCAGCAGGAACCAGGCACTCCGTTCGATGGATGGAGTACCTTGATACATTTCACGCTCGTGCGTAGTACTGCGTTGCTGGCAGTACCGTGTGCATGCCAGACTTGTACTTTGACCTGGACTGGCACGTAACTAAACGTGGTGGCGTGCCAGGAGTTCAGGTCATAACGCGCGTGGTGCCACTTCCCATGCCCTTCCCATCTAGGGTTACAATGCCAGGGAACAGCAAGTGTAATTTCCCAGTCGAGGGACTCTCATTTTGTATTAGTGGGCGTCCAATTAGTCTGGTTCGTGGGGTAAGCCCCATGGCCCCGATGCACCTAGTCCTGGCTGAGGTGATTTTCATCGTCCGAACCGTTTCGCTCCCTGTCTCCTCCCTCCCTTTTCCTTTTGCTTTCCGCTTCACCGGCCGTCGCCTTCGATTGAATTGCGTTGGATCCCTTTCCAACAGAGAGTCTCGGCTCTCTACCACACTCCTTTATTCCTGGTCCATCGCTTCATCACGCTCGTTTCATCCAACTTCAAACTATCACGAGTCTCAATACTTCACAAAAGTGAGAGACCCCCAGGTGGGTTGTTTACATCTGCGCCGGCTTGGCCGCGGCATTCAGTCAGTCCAACTGCCAATGCTGTTGGGCTGTTGATTTCCCCAAATCACATATTCGAACCTATCAGTAAATACTGACTAGAGATTACTTGAAGAGGATATTAACTGATCATCTTCAACGATACCTGCAATGAGGAACCTAGTACACGTCGCCATTGCGGCCACCTTGGCAATTGAAGTCGCTGCGAATTCTCACCAGCACCTCCATCACCACGCCAAGAAAGATGTTGCCTCCAAGGTTGAACGACGTGCAGCCGATGGAATCGTTTGGGTCCCCGCAACCGAGACTGTGTACATACTTGGCGGGGAGAAAATTTCAATGGAAGAAGCATTGGCTGGTTTGAACAACGGCGATTTTGTCATTGCTGGCGAATCCACGCCCATCTTCACCCCTCCCCTCGCCCAACCCCCTAAGCCTACGACTACCACCAGCCTTCAGGACCTTGGTGCACAATTTTTGGAGAAATCAAGCAGTGCTGCATCCCTGCCGAACCCTACGACTACTTCGCAACCACCACCTCCTAAGAGCACTCAGGCTCCCAAACCAAGTCCTTCACCCAGCACCCCCCCAAGCGGAGGTATCGGCCTGGATTCCAAGTTCCCCAGCGGTCAAATAGACTGCTCCAAGTTCCCCTCTGACTACGGCGCCGTTCCATTGGACTATCTGAAAATGGGTGGATGGTCTGGCATACAGTTTTGCCCTGACTACTCAATGGGCAAATCCAAAAGTATCAACAACATCGTCACTGGCATCCATAACGACGAGTGCACTAAGGGGGCAATGTGCTCTTATGCGTGTCCGCCTGGCTACCAGAAGAGCCAGTGGCCTGAGGCGCAAGGCGAGACTGGGCAATCCATTGGTGGCCTTTACTGCAACGAAGGTGGAAAACTTGAGTTGACTCGTAAAAGCAACCCCGTTCTTTGCGAACCTGGTGCTGGCGGCGTTTCTATCATTAACGAATTGGACGAAGTTGTCTCTACCTGCCGAACCGACTACCCTGGCACTGAAAGCATGACTTTTCCCGCCGAGGCCATGCCTGGTAAGTCGGTTGTATTGACTAATCCTGACTCATCGACATACTTCTTCTGGAAGAACCTGCCCACCACAGCTCAGTACTACGTCAACAACAAGGGCCTTGCTGCAAAGGATGCCTGTCTCTGGAACTGTCCCTGCGACGAGAACAAGTCCCAGGAAAAGAAAACCTGCGGTAACTGGGCGCCTATTAACATTGGCGTTGGCCAGGCTAATGACACCAACACATACATTTCTATTTTCCAGAACGCACCGACGAGCAGCGCGAAACTGAATTTCAATATCAAAATTACTATTGATGGCAACACCAAGTGCGCTTATGAGAATGGAAATTTTATTGGGGAAGGCAATGGGAATGGTTGCACTGTACGTATTACTCGCAAGCATTATATGCTTACAGGCCCCGTAAAGCTAACAACTCATTTTGCAGGTTACAAAGAGCGAGAGTGCCAAGGCAGTCATCCGATACTACTCGTAATTTTCGATGCCAAATGTCTGGGTTTCATACATTTTTTGGATCTTCGTCTGCACATACTTTTCATCAAAGCGCCAATGAAAGCAGGGGATGTTAAGACAGCCCTGTCTAAAGGATCTGGCTCTGGCTGAGACCTACATTCATCGAGGATCCGTGGTAATATTGCGATGGCTTAGTTAGTCCATCAGGGATAAAAGCAGTAGGCTCAGCATGCGAATACTCGTCGGAAGCCTTGGTCTCTTCTCAACTTATGCCTGGTCACCCTTGTTTATTGATGGAATCCTCAGGTATTACTTTTTTTAAATGACGCATTTATTTAGTAGTTTTCAATGCAGTTAAGTTCGTCTTGCGTATGTAGGCGTGTAACAGCCATTTTGTGCAATGCCGTATTTATGGATACATTGTGTTACTCGGCAGTAATGTGAAGTAGTCCATTCAGGAAAGCACCTGTCCGGCAGGCATGTATCAACCGGACGGAACTAGGCCGAGCTTATAGTACACCTTACATAACCAATTTAAGTTTAGGAAAGTATAGTGTTCCAAGATGTTCACTTAGACAAGCAAATAAAAACAGCTGGACGGCCGAAGTACTTGTGCACATGTATGATGCGCACAGCTGGCATGGTAGACAAGCAGTCTTTAATTTGAATACCTTAGTTAGGCTTCTATCAATAGGGTATACCTAGGTAGGTTGGTATATATCTATTCGGTACATTGATTCGGAACATCCGCAGCCTTCCCCCAAGTTCCAATGGAAGTGACACCATCGAAGATGTCTACAGCTTGTTCGGTAGTACCCAAATACCTAGGTAAGCAGCTGGCATATACTATTTCGTAACAGCCCCCATGAATGCTCTCCCTATCGAATGAGTTTCACCATGATAATGATCAGCGTTCCATAACCTTCATTGAGCATATCATTTAGACCTGGTAACTTGAGCGTAGCGGCTGACGGGCTTTATCCTGGCGATGCATCTGATTCAGGTGTCCATCATGCAATAATGATGATGATTTGAGCAACCGTCTTTGTGGTCCCTCCCAGATGGCTTCTCGACCTCAGTCTTCGTTGTAGGGCTAGGGATATGTCGTATGAAGGTTGAAAGGGGGTTCTTCAACATGGTTTCCTAGCCAGCAAACCTCCTCTGTACCTAAGTAATGATACTTATTTGTCGACTGATATACACAAAGCTAAGTCTGCGAATGCTTTTATTGAAGTAATTGCCTAAGCCGTTGTGTGTCGCGCGGGCCATGGGTGTTAGACACTCACATTTCCATCGGCGTTCCTACAGCTGCTTCTCTGGCTCGGCGTAGTTCGTCATTTCGTTCTTCATTCTCTTCCTTTAGCCTCTCCTCAACCTCTTGCCTGATAGCACCAAGATCAGGAGGAATAGTTTGCATTTGCACGCTGGGTGCAGCTTGTACAAAACGAAGTTGCTCCGAAATGTGCTGCACAATCTCTTGCAGGCGCTTTTGGGGGTTGCGATTCTGTCGTGGCTCGCCCAATATCTGCTCGAGAGTAGGGAAGAGTGTGTCCTGCCTGAACTGTTCGCGCCAAGGGGTATGCTGGGGAAGGACTGGGCTGATATTGTCTTGACACCCGACTGCGATACTAGTTTCGTAGGTCCAGGCACGAGCGACATTCCGAGGTGTGTAGCCTCCTCCGCCGAAAAGAATAAGAGGAAGTCCAACTTTCTTGCAAAACTCGACGCAAGCGCCGTGGCCTTGGACCTGGAGATTAAAACGGCCAAGCCTGTCACCGGCAAGAGAATCAGCGCCACATTGCAGCGCAATGGCGCTGGGACGGAACTTTTCAACAATTTTGCCAATGATAGAATTAAAAAGCATGTCGTACTGTTCATCAGTGATGCCGTCGTTGAGTGGTACATTTACAGCGTGATGAGCCCCTGGATTATGCTCGTTTTTGGGACCGTTGTCATCTAGAGCACCGGTACCTGGGAAGAAGTTGTGTGGATCATACTTGTGAAATGATGCAGTCATGACACGATCAGTAGAGAAGAAGGCCTCCTCGACGCCGTCACCATGATGAACATCGATATCTATGTAGAGAACCCGTGGGTAGAAGCGCAGAAGCTCTAGGATTGCAATAACAATGTCGTTGATATAGCAGAATCCAGATGCCTCTGCTTTTTTTGCGTGATGGAGGCCGCCGCCCCAGGCTATGGCAATATCTGACTGTTTGGATGTAATCTTTCTGGCTGCGTCAAGAGCGCCACCAGCTGACAGAGAGCAGTAGTCGTACAAGCCATCAAACAGTGGACAGTCGGAGCCACCGAGATTGAACTTGAGATCAGGGTTCTGGTTTTCCAAGTCCCGGGGAACTGGTTCCGGCAAGACAGTGCCAAGAAAGTCAAGGTAGTCGGTGGAATGAAAGGAAGCCAACTCTTCGTATGTGGCAGCGCGAGAAATATAGTTGTCCATGGCAAAAGACATGCCGTATGAATATATCAGACTTTTCGATAAGGTAAGGCGCCACGGTTTCATCGGGTGCGTCATGCCAAAGTGATGCTTTTCCATATCCGGATTGCAATGAAATGATACGTTGTATCCTTTTGGGCGAGTTATTGCGGATTCTTCAGCAAGGCGCTTGCATTTATTGTAGAATTTGGCATTATCCATCTCGCTAGCAAGACCCAACGGGGCGTTGCTGTACTCCTCAACGATGACATCGTCGCTATCAATATCTTGCTTATGGGGCAAGTAGTTCGGTTTGGGCACACGAAAGCGGTAAGGATTGATATCCATGGTGAGTACTTAGTATGCTGGCTTCCTTTAAAACGACTGCTAGGAGCAATTCATTCCACTGCGACAGGTTGGAAAAAGCCGTCTGTAAATCGAAGGCATTCCCGTGCCGGAAGCCTGTGAGAATGGGCATCCAAGAGCGCCAGATTTTAACTAGTGGCAAAAGAATAAGCGCGCAATTTTTGTGCGTAGGCGAGAGAAGTGAGGATTCTGCTGGGTGATGGGATTGGAGCAGCAGCTGACGACCGTTGAGCACCTACTTAGGTAGGTAGGTGGGTGGTTGGCAGATGGAATTGCTGGGTTCTGATGTTGAACATGTGTGCAGGATGGATGGGAAGATTAGGCCGCTGGGGAGCATCACGCTAGGCTTGTTCAGGCGTAGTTTGTAGTCCAGATGGCTTATTAATACGTCTTGCCCTGTTCTATAGGACAAACTCAAAGATCACTAAAGCAGGACAGGAGAATAAAGAAAGAAAGGACAAGAAAATTTGATCAAAGGGAAAGAAATATAATCAAGTATTAAATACAAGTAAGGAGGGTCCAAGAAGTATGATATCTATGATTTCCGTCACCTACCTGACGTGGTATGTCCTTGTGGTGGAAAGCAGCACCGTCCAAAGATCCAAGGCTGTGGAAGCTGGGCCAATGTGCATGCGCCTATATGTATGTATGTACGTTTGTTGTCAGCCTGGCTTGTGAAGTTCCCGACGTCAACTCCCACACTACATACAACCTTTATCTCTACCTCAACACGCACTCTCGCCAGACATACAGGATCCCTATCGACTCCTCCCTAGAGGCGTCTGCACCTGCGACCGCTGCAAAACGGAAGGGCAGCCTGTGCTACAATCCCCTCCGAAGAGACTTACCACCACGGTTCAGATTGTTGAGGTGAGTCCTAACCATTCATGTTGGCGGCCATGCATTTTGGTCTACACCGTCGCGCACTTTGCATATTTGCCACTCAACACTCCTTCACAAGGATGCAGTTGTACCTCTGTCCGTACTTCTGTTACATCACAGGGGAAAGTTTTCTGTGTTCCTAGACGCACTGCACCCTGCTCCGACTGACGACGTGCGCCTGTATCCGTTGTCTGTCAATCGTCGTCGCCTGCCGCCTGCCGCTTGTCGCTTGTGGCCTGGCTGTCTGGCTGGCCCCGGCAATTTTACTCCGTACTGCGGGCTGGTTGGACCGATGGTCTTTGTTGGCTGGAGCCGGGTCCTGCTTCAGTCTGGTTGGTACATATACTGGCACCGGGTCAGCACCAGCCTGATGCGCAGCACCCGGGCCTCGAGCTCGCTTCTGAGCGGCCCCTGTCTGATCTCCATTGGTCTACATGCAGGCTTCCACAGCTGTACCAGCTGGATTGTCAAATGTTGCTTGGCCGAGATCGTCTAGAACACGACATCCAGAGTGCCCACTCGGGTTCAAAGTTCCTTGCGCCCATGCAACGAGTGAGCACTGTCAGCAAACCCTTCGTTCTTGGCTTCTGCAATCTGGCTCGAGTGGGCAAAAAACTGAGCGAGTCATTTTGACGTTGGGCACTAGCATCACTCGGATCTCTCTGCTTTCTCGCGTACATCCAGGCCCGCGTTTTTTGCAAGGACAAATGTGCCAAAAGAGACGCCACCAGTCGTCATAATGCCGCTGTTTTCATGTACACCCTTTGTTTGCTAAGCCATCTGCCTCTCTCTGGTTAGGCACGATTGAATTGATTTTTTTTTTTGACATCCCCCTCCCCCCATCTTACTTCTCTCAACTCTTGTATTTACTTATTTCAACTTGCGCCCACGACGTCACAATCTGCAGGATTTTTTGCCGGTTGTGGATGTGGCTGGTGTGCGGTGTGCAGAGACTCTTTGTGTTTCCCTTCTTCTTCCTGAACTAATCCCACCGATTTTCTTTCGTCTGTCGTTGTTTTTGCTTGCTTTTAGCGTTAGGTGTCTGGGTCTTAACATCATGCCCAGAGACGATCTCTCTATTGATTTTGTCAAGAGGATGCCTCAAGCAGAACCTCTTGACCCAGGGTTGATCTTGGACGACTGGATCAACCGCGTCCAGAACCTTCCCGAAGAAATTCGCTTCATGCACGAAGAGATAACCGACAAAGATCGCCAATACAACGAATGCATCCGCATGATAGAAGACCGTGATGGAAAGATACAAAAATGGATCAAGTCCAACGGCAGCCACGAGCCTAATCCAAAGGAAGAGTTGCTACGTGCTCAGATTCGTGACAATTTCGCAAAGGCGGACAGGCTTGCTCAAGACAAGATCGCGTTGACACAGAAGCTTCAATTGACCATGGACAAGCATCTACGGAGTATTGATATCCAAATCAAACTCTTGTACGACCGCGCCGAACCAGGCTTTACTGATCCCGATGAAGTACCATCCCTACTACGTGCCAGCGCTGCAAACCATACTGCGCCGTCAATCCGAGCCATCAACCCTTCCGCGAGTCTTACCGATACCGCCCCCCCGGCTGCGACAATAACCACAACTCATAGTAATCCTGCAACTACCAGACTTCCTGCGCATCCTCATATTCGACTTGCCCAGCCTCAACAAAATGGACCGCAACACTCTGCTTCTGCCCCAGCTACGCCTGCAGCTAGCATGATCCTCAACAGACAACGCGAAAGCTCGGCAGGCCCGTCGATGAAGCGTGGTCCGCGAGCAAATGCAGGTCCAGGCAACGCACCTACCACATCCAGCGGCCTGGCTAGGCATTCCTCGCTTGGTCCCGGGACGCCAAAGAATGCATCTGCTTCAGGCGCTGGAGGCGTCGTGCGGGCTGGCAGTGCTGGCCCTCGATCTACCTCTGTCAAGGCGGGCTCCACCGCTGGCAGCCGCCGGGGCACGCCGACTGCGGTATCACGAAAGAAACCACCCAACAAATCCTACTTATCACGTGTAAAGAAAGCTTCGGCGCGAAACTCGCCAGCTTCCACTGCAGACAGCGATTTGTCCGAAGCAGAAAGCCTGAGTGGCGAAGAAGAAGAAGAAGCAGGTGATGGTCGACGAAGGGGCACGCCCACAGCTGATGGCAAGGATGCCGAGGGGGATGATCCGGTTGGAGATGCAGACGATGATGAGGAGGAGGGCGGCGATGACAAGAAGTATTGCCTATGCCATAACGTAAGCTATGGCGACATGGTCGCTTGTGACAACGACAATTGCCCTTATGAGTGGTTCCATTGGTCTTGTGTTGGGTTAAAGAGCGAACCTAATGGTACTTGGTACTGTCCGGTTTGTGCTGAAAAGTTTCAGCGCAAAGCAAAATAAGCTCCGCCGGTCATCCAGACTGGATAGACTGGTATGGAGTGTATTACTAGCAGCATGACGAAATTTATCATGAATGGTTTAATGTTTCTTTTATGACACATGAGGGAACTCGATTTGGCGTTTAGGAAGTCAGGAAAAGTGTGCATATACCCCCCAATCTTTTACAATTTTTTTTTTTCATTTTTCGCCCCCAGTCTCTGAGATCTTCAGAATCAAATCAAACTACCGACCTGGTTTCATGACAATCTTAGGCAGAAGAGAAACTATTGGGACTTGGGTGATATTGTGCCGGTTGCACGCGAGGGTATTTGTTATTCCACTGGTGCCAGCATACAGCGAACAACCCCGCGTCTGACCCCATCTGCCTCTTCCCTTATTCTGGTGACTATTGTGCCACCTTTTTGAATCTTGTCTACGAAATCGTCTAGGGAGCCACCTACTCCAAAGTACAATCTTTTAGCGGCCACCCATGCTGACGCTTGCGATCCAAAAACAACTTTTTCCCGTTCTAATATAGCCAGCACTGCTTCCGTGAACGCCTGAAGAGCAAACGGCGAATATATTGTTTCAGCGCCCAGTAGTATAGAAACGGGAGATAGCTCCGGCAAAGCGCCAGCTAAGTGAGTCGAAGTGGAATAGAGTAACTGGATAAACTCGGCTGACCACCCGCCCGATAGAAACAAAAGATTCATACCATGCGTGCAGAGATATGTTTCAAACCCTTCGAGGATCGATGGAGTTAATTCAAGCTCACCCTCTAGCGAGAAGGCGTCCTGAAGCTCGGTGAGACTCTGCCGGTGGTATAGCGCCCATGTGAGGATGAAGTTTGGCAACGTGACGAGATGGAGTACAGATGGATTGTAGTCGGCGAGGAAAAAGCTGCACTGTTGATTTGATGATGATGACTGTAAGGACATGGCCCATTGGAACATGGCTAAGGAAGGGAGACTAGTCCCACAGCCGAGCTATGGAATATGACTGGGTCAGCAACTGTTGAGCGTAGACTTGCTTTCTTGTAAGATATAGCCTTCCTTTATTTGAAGTAGAGTAGGAAAATCATTTGGCGAAGTTGCGGCTATATCAAACAAGAAGAGAACGAGTACATACCTCAATGATGCGAACGGATGAATTTAAATAGGATGCCAGATGACTCTGGGCCGCTAGGGCCTTGACCAGGTCAACACTGCTCTCCCAGCTTTTGAAACCACCTTCATAAACACCAGTCTTGACATCTCGGTCGCCTAAGCCTTCACCCAAGTGTGCTATGCCATCTTCCTCTTCAGCCATGAGTTGTACTCTGACGTCCCATAGCTCTCTTCGAGGAAGCTGTATGGTTTCACCACTGTCAAGCGTTATGTCCAGCATGCTGTACGCAATCTTGGATGGCATACGGAATAGCATCGTTTTTAGGTCATGTTCTATTGGTGGAAGCTGTGGTTTACCTTGAATGGGGAATGCGCTGGCTTTTCCTGCAGGCTGCGGATGCTGATGCTGAAAATGTTCCCTTGCGCTGTCATTTGTCGTGTTTGCATCTATGTCGTCTCCTGAGAACTCGAATGAAAAAGACATTGTCAATGTCGAATTTGGTAGCAAGCCCGCCGATGGTGGGTTCTTTGTCTCTCCTTTTGCTCCGTTTTCGCAATGCCTGCTTCGGCAAGGACATGAACTATTTTATGTTTGATTGGGAGATGGTTGTCAAGATTTGCACATGTTCTCACCTGATGTGGGGCTGAGCTCATCGACTAGGTCGGGTTTCTCACAGGGGCGAGAAACTCGCTGAACTGCCAACTTGCCTCGCATTTGCTTCTTTGTAGCCGCAACCTTCCGTTCTATATACTACCGTGAATTTCATTTGCGAAGATACCTTTCTCCTCTACAATCAGTTGAATCAAGTTACGGATAGGCCAGGCCCATTGCTCGTGATTCATAGCATTTTGATCACACCTTCTCGACGAATTTGACCCCGTTCGGAACGGTCTTGGTCTAAGAATATTCGCCAAAACTCTAATTACGAATCCAATCGTAAAGAATCACAATTCCAGGCATCAATATTTCAGATCGCGTATTCTGTAGCCGTCATGCATTCATCTATTGCTAGACGGGCTACCGCGTCAATACAAAACAGTCTGCGCCAAACAAAGACCGCTCTTCTCCCACCAATTCCTTTGTACAGGCGACTTTTGCGAGCACACAGGAAGCACCTACCGGCTGAGATGCGTGTATTAGGTGATGAGTATATCAAAGCCGAGTTCAGACTACATCGAAAGGTCGACAACCCAGCTCATCTGGTAAGTTAAGTACCCTGACAATCCGAATACAGTGCTAGCACCACTCTTCTCAAAGCGGAGCCGGTGGTCTCCAGCTTTGGTTTGTCGGTGGTTAACATGGCAGTAGATTGGATTTCTCACCGAATGGCAAGCGTATGCCCAAAAAATCGAGGGCGATTCTTGGGTTGGTGAGAAAATTGATGAAGGGAAGCTTCAAAAGATGAGCGGTGAGTCCAACTTGAAAGTGCGGTGGAATCACGTTTTACCTTTTTATTTGAGTCTAGCGTTGGATGGCAAAGATATGTTCCAGGGACTTATTTTTACGCTGACTATGCTTTAAATTATAGATGAGCAAATCCATCAACTATACGAATTAATGCAGGCGATACAGAATCATGGCAACGGCAGCTCATCGGAGGCATGATTTGTAGAGGAAGAGAGAGGAGGAAGCCATCCATAGCAGTGTCCTATATTGTACTATATATCGCCGTAAACGAATAATGGGAGAATGCTTGGCAAGAGGAAATCATAATAAATGCATCCAATAACTCTCGTCTATGCTGCTGTAGAACCTTGAGTCTATCTCTGTAGTGCCTCCTCGATCCATGTTGCGCATATTGCACTTACCTTCTTAGCATAGTTTTTATTCGTGTATACATGATCCAAGAACATAATTGCCTCCTTCTTCTGTCCATGGAGCACGCTTGCCGGGTGGATAGCTACCACGTGTTTACCGTGAACAGTAATGTAGCTTGCATCAGGGGCTAGCATCGCTGTCTTCAAAGCGTATCCTCGAAGAAAGCATCGTAACACTGCCTTAGCCCTCTCGGGGTTTGGCGGCGTAAATGGCTGAGGATCAGGCAAAGGAGGCTCGCTCAATAGTCTCTCCTTTAGGCAAATACCCCGTAGTTGTCTCCGAATGTTCAAAGCCTGCTTTATGTTCCGCATGTTGATCTTCTTCTGCTTACACCATTCAAACCTGTTGACACTTTCAGAACAGTATCGTTGCATAGTTGTTAAGTAAGTAATTAAGTCGCCCTCGCGTCGCTGCACCTCCTTTCGAAAACCCTCAATCTCTTCCTGGGCTTCCTCCGACTGCACCTGTAGGAAGATGTCTTCTCCTGAGGTAATACAAGATATAATATCAATAACTTCGAGTACACAGTCGAACTCCGGTTCCCCAGCTGCAAGAAGTACCGCACCCAGGGAGGGTGGAATCGGCAAGCGCGCCATTTTCTCTCCGGCTGAAGTAATGGATCCATCGTCACTTAAGGCACCAAGATAGTGTAAATTTAGGAGTGCTTTTTCAAGTGCCTCGGATTCGGGAGCATCCATCAACGGAAAAGCAAGTACGTCTTGAACGCCACGCGCCTTCATCGTTAAAACAGCACCAAGCACATCGTTTCGCAATATCTCCGGAAGATCAGACTCTTGGAGTGTATCAAACGCCCTTTCTGTGTATAATCTGAAGCATTTCCCTGAAGCCTCACGCCCGGCTCGACCAGTACGCTGAAGAGCAGAGGATTTGGAGATAGGTTTAGCCAGCAGTGATTCCATGCCTAGTCTTGGCCGGTATTGCTTGATCTTAGCCTTTCCACCGTCAACAACGTATCGAACTCCAGGGACGGTGACTGAAGTTTCCGCAATGTTAGTGGCGAGGACAATCTTTCTCGTAAATTTGGTTTGAGCCGGAAGAAATGCCTCTCGTTGACCGTCGATGGATAACTGGCCATAGAGAGGGAAGACCTTCACTCTGGGAACATTTGAAGCTAAGGTAGTCGCATATTCCTCAATCAACTTCTGGGCGGATTCAATTTCTTCTTGGCCAGTCAGAAACGCTAGAACATCCCCCGGCAAAGGCTCCTCCATGTGAATTTTAAATATTCTCTTCACAAGCGAATCTTGAATGTCCGCCACTGGCTGAGGTTCGTGGGTGACCTCTACAGGGAACTGGCGACCTTTGATGCGAAGAACCTTGACTAATCTAGCGTCGGAATATATTGATGAATCGTTGAAGAATGACTGGATGGCATCCACATCTGCAGTGGCGCTCATGATGACAACTTTTAGAGGAAGACCGCCTCTCATTTTCTGGTCAGAAGAAAGAATCTGTTTCAAAAAGCCCACCAAGAGGTCCACATCTAGACTTCTCTCATGAATTTCGTCAACAATAATGGCGTTATACCGTCTTAGATAAGGATCCCTGAGAAGCTCTTGTAGGAGAGTTCCTTCTGTGAGAAACTTGATCTTCGTACCCTTCGGAACTTGATGGTCGAATCGAACAGAGTAACCAACAACGCCCTCTTTTCTTCCTTTCACAAGAGGAGTTCCTGCTTCTTGAGACACTCTGTGAGCCAGAGTAGTTGCAGCTACCCTTCTAGGCTGTGTGATAGCAATACAGCCTCCAACATAAACCTCATCTTCAGGACTTGGAACCCTGACCTTCCGACGTTTGCACCAAGACTCTCGGTAGAGGAACTGTGGAACCTGTGTGCTTTTACCTGAACCAGTTTCGCCGACCAAAATGAGCACTTCATTCTTGGGACCAAGCAGGGCCTCCTGAATCTGATGACGATATTGCCATATAGGTAACTCTTGACGAGTCTTTAGTAAAGCCGCATCTTCGATTCCCCGCGTTGCAATCGATTTCGTCTCGTGATCTTTTTTTGGTATTTCTGTGGAAGGAATGGCCTTGACTTCGTGATCTGCGATAGCCTCGGATGGCATTTCAGGCTTTACAACGGCCTTTTCGGATGACGACGTAAGATAGCCATCTAGAGGTATGATTTTACCTCCAATGCGGAGTGTCTGCGAAGATAACTGAGTCTTTCGGCGCTTGGTAGGGCGCTGTGTGGTGTTTTCGGCGGACATCGTAGGTGTCTGTGGTCGAGTTTTTGGGTGGCGTAGTCTTGTTGATGTGACAGGAGCTGGTGTGACCTGACCTTTTTTTCTAGAAGCACATAAATAAACTATGGCCTGGCAGCTTCGATCTTCGTGCTGAGTACCCCACTACTTACTTGGAACATTTGAACCAACCAGCAGTTCACCAGTCTCCATAATTTTAGTGGCACCCTAAGCATGCTGTAGAGGCAACGTCGGCACAACTATCACAAGACAGGTACCAATTATCACCAGCTAACAGAAGTCTAATATATTAAATAAAGAAATTGAACGAGATGTCTTGTAATAGCTGATGAGTCACTGGAACACCCCTTGCGCCTAGGTACTAGGTACGGATAAACACGGCACGTTGTCTCACCCGACGCCCTATCTCCAATCTCTAGACCACAGGTATGCCCTAGCATCAGCACATGTGGAACTATACCGAATATGATGGACAGTAACTATGTGTGGCCAAGTTCCAACATTAACTAATGAAACTTGCACAATGACCTTACTTGATGCGAGCCAGACGTTCTCGGTTCATTCTGGTAGCATCATCGACTGCGTCGCTCTGCAGACGTGTGTTAGCTAAGTCCAGAGATTAGCTGCAAAGGCTGTCGGAGCATTCTTACCTTTACCATAATTCTGTCAATTTGTTTGTTTTGAGCCTCAACTTCTCTGCCAATGGCTCGTCCAATCAAATTCATGTTTGATACTTCTCGACCAAGTTCATCCAGTCTATCGTCGATTTCGTCTTCAGCTCTCATGCCTTCCATTCTGCTCTCTTCGTCCTCTTCGTCCAATACGAACTTGCCATAGTCCTTCTTGCGAGTCTGGGGACGGGGACGGGCCTCAGATGCGTTGAGTTCTTTGAACGCAGACTCCATGCGCTGATTTGCAGCGTAGCCTTCACGACGGGTTGTCTCTCTCTGGTCTCTTTCTGATCTGTGTCTGTTGATGACCTCCTCGTCCGCTCTCTGTTGTCGTTGCTTGGAGGTAAAGGGATTTCCAACATGAACTGCAAACATGCTTCGATTGAGGGTCTTCAATTCCGCAGCCCTATCCTGGGCAATTCTATTTTGGTTCGCGGCAAGATCGAGATTCTTCTCTGTATTCTGTAACCGCTCACCTTGAACGCCAAGGCGTGCTAGAGTAGCCTGTCCGAGCTCATTTACTCGCCTCGCCGTCTGAACTGAGCGATTTGCTGACGTGACACTCTCTTGCTGGATCTGCCGCTTCTCAGCCAGGATAGACTGGTACTCTGCTTCCTCCTGCTCTTCAGCCGTCAGCTCTCTCTGCTCGCCATAACCACTACCATACGCATCGCCGTCTGCGACGGATTGCCCATAGGAAGTTATCGCCGGTGTCAGTGCTGGTTTCTGATCCTGAGGTCGATGGCCCGGCGCTGAAGCGAAAGGAACCTCAGGATTCCTATCACGCTCGTTGTTGGCCTGGCCAAACCCACCATAACCACCAGGACCGCGAGCATCACCACCTGAGTTATTGTATCGATCTGATCCATACCCACCGGCGGATCCGTATCGATCGGCGCCGTAGCCTGTAGATGGGGGAGCGCTGTAACTGTTGTGTGGGACTTGATTTGAATTACCGGCATCATATCCGACGCCGAGTCGCCCTCCTTGCCCATTGGAAGAGGGAGAATGCTGTTGGCCAACAGTGAGACCAGCTCGAGCTTGCTGATATGGACTCACGTTTGCATATTTGGCGCTGTCGGCATAGGGATCGTTGGCTCCTTGTTGGGCATAAGGGTTTTCCGACTGGGCGGATTGTGATGAGTTCTTGCGGCTGCCGTCGTCCCCTTTCTTTCCAAACCCGAATCTTTTCATGGTACGAAGTACTGTGCCGGTGAATCAAACGGGGAAAACAGAGTAAGGACTTCGACTATTCCGATAACAGCGAACGTTTGCCTATGAACGCTAGTAGAGGAGACACTCTTGGTCTATAAAGCATGAAGTGAAAGTGAAAAGAGATGAGGTTAGCGGAGGCCTGAACTGGGAAAGAGCCACTGAGTATGGTCTTGTAGGGTGAAGACGGCAAGGACGCCACCTATTCGTACGAACATGGAGGTCAACTGACACTACAAGTTGCTGCTGGGAAGGCCCACAGAGGGGGACATGGAGGGGGAGGGGTAGGGGTAGGCGGAACCCGACCCGACAGTAGTGCAACAGCGAGCATTCAAGAATGCATGTGCCAAGTCTGGTGCACTCCCCGGCTCCGTATTGTCTTCCGTCGCGCGGCTGTAGGCATCACCATACGCTGAAAGACGGTCAACTTGTACGTGACTTGACTCAACAAAGTGACCATGGACTTAAACGCCTATTCGTGATGAGGACGTACATCTATGCATGGGAGGCAGCCAGGCCTTCCCTAGTACTTGTTTAAATGCATCCGCGTTGTCTGCTGCACCAGAGGATGAGAAGACAGCGTCCGACCACATTAATATTGACCAGGCGTGACTCGTCTACTTACTTAAGTACATAGTACCCAACCCATGACTTAGGTACCTTGCTACTCCGTCGTAGGTAGGCTATTAGACAGGAGTAATAGTACTCGGCAGGTACGGGGGCACAATCTGACCATCGCGGCAGCTTCAAACATGGGCAGCCAGGGATGTTTAAAATTAGGCATGGGGCCATGAAGGCTTACGACGGTAGGCCCCGTTGCCTCGTTCCCATCTACGGAGTAGTAGTACTTCTGTCCCGAGCATTCAGCCACACACTCTCCACGAAAGTGGCACGGATCAATAAGTCGAAAATAGCACTTGAGTGAGGTCTGCGTTAGGCACCACGGGCATGAACATGATCAAAGAACACAGACAGCAAAAGGCTAGCAGTTCCGACTCGAGGGGTGCTTGAGGCCACCAAACCGTGGAGTCTCGTCAAATGTTTCGAGTTTCAGAGACCCACAAGCCCAATTACCTGCTGTCTGGAACGTATCGACTAATTTATGGCGATGTACATGCGGACATCTGAAGTACTCTGAGCATGCTGTATGTGTGGTGTGGTGTGCTTGCACATGGACGTACCGCCTATCGATGGATGTGGCGACTGGAATGACTAACTTGTGCTAACAGTCAAATGGCCCATCCAGTCTCGTCCGGTGCTCCGTATTCCGTCTGGTACGGTACGCCACCAATGGCCCCGAGTCCCCCAGGCCACCCAATGTTTCTAATACTCAATACTTGGATCCTAGTTCGATCATCCCTCTTGATGACCGGCTGATACTCTCATCACGACATCCAGGTGCAAGCGCGAAAAGGCCCCAAGGCCGATAGTTAATCATACCAAACTTCAGACGCTGCATCCTCACATGATATTTCCCCAAGAATGATACCTTCATCGCTTGTATGGCTTAATTGCTTCAACTCAATCTGAGTCACCGACAACCACAAAAACCACAAGCCCAACAAACAAGTGAAGCCTGTCGCTCGGCCCAAGTATATCGCTCCAATCGACTTGAGAACGAATGGCCTCAATCTTTACATACGACCCAGACCCCCCGCGGGTCTCTTCTCCTTGGCTGACTCCTGAAGATTCAGATGTACTCAGCAGATCGCCGCGAGACTCCACAGGTCCTGGGTTGTTGTCTGAATATGGCGTTAAAAAGCTGCAGGCAGAGCCCCAGGAAGGACCAACGGAATATAAGCTTCACTTGCTTCTGAGACCAAGAAGAGCATTCAAGTCTATGAGCACCATCAACCAGCCTGAAAACCCCTCTCAAGCTGTTTGCCCCAAGGACATACGCCGCACAAAACCACCGACATTGGCCGTTCCAGCATCAGGAAACCTACCCCGTCAGGAGAGACTGAAGCATCTCACCACACAGCTGCTGTGGCGTCTCCAACAGTCTTCTCCATACCATGCTACTAGTTCCAAAGAATTGTCAATACCCAGGTTGCCCGATGACAATATTGACCTCAGCTCGTCAATTAGGCTGGAACCACTGGTTCCTGGGCTCGAGGAGTCAAGAGGTGCGCTGTACGAAATAGGGGTCTCCGATGACGGGACACTGGTTGGTTTGACAAAGGATGAAATGGCTGAAAGTATCAGCACACTGCGTGCCATGGCGGCAAGTCTGGGGTGCACCGTAGATGTTGTCCGCATGGTTATTGTTGGAGATTGTGAGTGGGAGGAGGCCGCGTCATCCATGCTTGATGGCAGCCGTGAAGTGAATTTCATTGCGAAGAAAGGGAAACTCTGGGTGGCAGAAGCTCTTGTTACTCCCAATCTCGGTCTTCACGATACCTCAGATACAGAATACGGGCAGTCTGGCCAAAGCGCGTCGAAAGCAAGCGGCACGGGTTCCGTTACCCCCGAGCAAATCGCCATGCCCAGCAGAGGAAGCTCAACGACTCCGCAACTTAGAGTGACCCTTACCGGACCCACTACGTCAGGTAAATCGAGTTTACTAGGTACTTTATCAACTGGAACTCTGGATAATGGTCGAGGGAAGAGCCGGTTAAGCTTGCTCAAGCATCGTCATGAGATGGTGTCTGGTGTGACAAGTTCAACAGCTCAAGAGTTGATTGGATACAACAAGAACTCAATTTTGAATTTCTCCGGGGGAAATATAGAGTCATGGGTTGACATTCATGATTGCGCCGAGAATGGCAGGTTGGTGTTCCTGTCCGACTCCGGCGGACACCCTCGGTATCGGCGCACCGTGCTACGCGGCCTTATGAATTGGGCTCCCCATTGGAGTATTCTTTGCATTGCAGCAGATGCCTCAGAATATGCTTCTTCAGGCGTAGGAGCTGTTTCTCCAGCTGGTGTCGACCTAGTATTTGCACATTTAAATCTGGCTCTTAAACTCGAGGTTCCCATGGCGGTGGTCATCACTAAGCTCGACGTGGCCTCCAAACAAATTTTACAGAAAACATTGGTCAAAATTCTGGCGACTATTAAGGACGCTAAACGAATACCAAAGATTCTTCAACCAGACCAGATACAACACGATGATTTGCGAGACATTCCTGGCGATGACCTCGCCAAGGTGAATGCGGTTGTGAAGAACATGGCAGAGGGTGAAAACCTAACTTCATACGTCCCAATTCTTCTCACTAGTGCGGTGAAAGGAATTGGCATTGGGTTGTTGCATGCCTTGCTCGCAAATCTACCCCTGCCTCCGACACCAACGTCGCGAGACTATGTCGGCATGGCGTTGAATCCCGAACAACCACAATCCCTCTTCCATGTTGATGACACATTTAGCTTACCAAGCTCCTATTGTGCGTTGGCAACCGATAACTATCAATTAAAGAATAGAGGCGTGGTAGTTTCTGGCTATGCTCGATTTGGATCTTTTTCAGTTGGGGACAAAATTGTACTTGGTCCTTTTCAACCAGAGGATGAGGAGTCGCAAGGATTGGGTTTGGCTGTCGACGATCGACCAGCAGTGGGAGCGCCTGGACTATCGATCTCGCACCCGTCATCTGCGGAGTTGGCTCGAATAGCGATGAGGAACGCCGTCTCTGCATCTGCCACGCCAGGAGAATGGCACAAAGCGCAAATTGTTAGCATCCGCAACTTACGATTGCCTGTGCGAACCCTAGAACCTGGACAAGCTGGATCTATAGGCCTCGTGTTTGAGCTGCCGGGGACATCTTTGAGTCTCCCACTGGCGGAGACGCCTCGTGTACGACGGGGCATGGCTCTGGCTGTCCCATCCACGCACATGCTAAATTCAAATCTGTCCCTCCAAGCAGCTAGTGGGTTTACTGCTTCATTTTATGACCCTGCGATATGCTATTTGACATCGGGCTCTCTCGTCAACGTCTATGTAGCGAGTGTTAGAGCTGCTGCTAGAATTTTACGAGTTTCGCACCATCCATTCCATCAAGGATCCACGACTACTGGCAGTGATGACATTGAGGACATTTTTAGCCTGAACACGGACACTGAGACTGGAGATGCTGCAGCAGTCACTGGAGTGACTTGGTCTGGTGAGGTGTCGCTAGAATTACTTCATAGCAGAGAATGGATTGAGCTAGGCTCTAAAGTCCTAATGCTAGAAGGCGGCAGCCAAGATCGATCGGGACTCGAAGGATTCGTGGGGAAAATTGTCGAGATAGTTGATTGATTTGAACCTACATAGAAACTAGATTGTGATGCCCAGTGCATCTAAGCTTCCGCTATTCATCATGCGCGTTGAAGCTTGAAACTGCTTGACATATTATTAAGACCTCTCTGTTACACTAATGCCATTTTATACACCCAGCTACTCTATCAGACTCGCACCAGACCGTAGAATAGAGTCCATGTTAGGATAAAGCCCGGGAGTCCGTTGAATATCCCACTTGTCCAAAAATCGAAAGCGCTGGTAAAATATCGTCCTGTACTTAGAAGTGGCCGACCTTCTTCCAATGACTCTGGTGCAACCTGAAGACCATAGAACATCAATGAGGTCACGATTGACAAAACTATGTAGACGAGGAAGCCGTTATAGGACTCGAGGCCAAGGATACCGGTGGCAACGCCGAATAATGACGCGGTGAGGCTTTGTAGATTGGACAGAACCTGATTTGTGAGGTATTAGGGAACACAGCCCACAACAAAGGACTATGTGGGCGGCTAAGTCCATACCTTGGTGTTGTGGACTACTGAGTCCGGGACAATAGGGTGGATTTGATACTCCTGTTCTGAGGGCATCGTACTCGTGGCCCTTCGGCTGCAGATCTTGTGGTCGCGTGTTGTCCGACACCTGCATCAAGGTGAAAGGCCCCAAATTTAGATGTTATGCGAGGTCGAATCAGAATCGGCAATAAGTGGTAGGTAGCTATGCGAATCAACATATATTGGCTGTATCGTGAACCCTTCGCTTAGCAGATTTGCATCGAGTACTCCGTAATGAGCATCCATCTAGTGTTGACGTTCCTAGAAAATGGCCGGGCCGAAAAGCTCCGTTGTGAGACGCGGCAGTCGGGTGTCATCAACGCCGATAAGCTAGCTGCCCCTCGTTGAACAGGTTAATAAGGGCCGGTGGGGTGACTTGCATCTTTCATTGCCTCCGCAATTGCGACTTGTTGGAAGCTCCTGTCACGATGGACCATTCCTTTGAGCCATTGAAGAACGATCTTTTACTTCGGGCAGCATGGGGTAGGCAAGTGTCATTATGCGAATATGTGAAGGCAATATTGACGACGTAATGTGTAGGCCAAGAGGTTGAACGCCCACCAATGTGGGTGATGCGGCAAGGTCAGTACCGGCAGTCTTTGAGCACTACCATCCGCGGCAAATCATGCTACGAAAATTGATTCACTGATAAAGAATTATAGCTGGCCGTTATCTTCCCGAATACCATGAAGCGAAAGGAAATCGCGATTTCTTCGAGTGCTGCCGGGATCCGGAGGTTGCGTCGACGCTAACCCTTCAACCGGTTGAACGTTTTGCTGGATTACTGGATGCCGCAATCATTTTCTCGGACATTCTAGTCATTCCACAGGCAATGGGAATGGAGGTCGAGATGGTAGACAAGAAGGGCCCGCACTTTCCTAATCCATTGAAGACTCCCAAGGATGGCCAATATGACCAAGTTCTCAACAGAGACGTGCAGGTGGCAAAAGAGTTGGACTACGTCTACAAAGCCATCACACTTACGAGAAAGAAAATCGCTGGGAGAGTACCTCTGATTGGTTTCTGCGGTGCTCCTTGGACTCTCTTTTGCTACATGGTTGAAGGTGGTGGCACTAAACTATTTGCTCACAGCAAAACTTGGATATACAAATACCCTGAGGAAAGCAAGAGGCTTCTTTCAAAGATTGCAGATATATGCGTGGATCATCTGGCCCGTCAAGTAGAGGCTGGTGCACAGGTATGATAAAAGCCGACGGGGCACGGCCGCTCTTGTTGAACTCCGCCATTAATAGCTGAATTGCTCTCATAGACTAACATCTTGCCTTCTTCTTTGCTCAGATGGTCATGGTATTCGACTCTTGGGCTGGAGAGCTGTCTCCATCGTCGTTCCGCGAGTTCTCCGAGCCTTACCTGTCACACATTGCACAGAAGCTCCCGAGCAAGCTGAAGAGCTTGGGACTGGATCGTGTTCCTATGACCGTCTTTCCTAAGGGTGCATGGTATGCCTTGGACTCTGTATGCAATCTAGGATACAACGTTGTGGGCATGGACTGGCTCCAAGACCCTGTAGCGGCTCTCAGGACTCGCGGATCACGCAATGTAGTCTTCCAGGGCAACGCTGACCCTGGTGTCTTGTATGGAACTAAGGAAGCGATAACACTGGCTGTGGAACAAATGGTCAAAGGATTTTGGGTCGAAAAGAAGGGCTGGATTGCCAACTTAGGACACGGTATGGCACAAGCAGAAACTAATAACCTATGTTGGCCGTCTGATCTGCGCAAAGCTAACCATATTCCATGCACAGGTATTACACCTGGCGTCGACCCTGACAACTTGAAGCACTTTTTCGAGGAGATTCACAGGCTGACAAAAAGTTGAGTATCTGCTCCTGGTCACTTCCTGTCGTGACTTTCAACTAGAACGCTGTTAGTCCATTTGACACACACAGATGAGTCCAGGAAGCTGGGAGGGTACAAGGCACAAGGTACATTCACACCAGTGCAATAAGTATATCGAGTCGATTTGGACCATTCCACTATAAGGGTCCGACATACCGAAAAGCAATTTAAACTTGACATAGAACCTTTTTAAATTTTCTAAATGATGAGGAAACAGTCGCATATTGCTTTCGTCCTCTTTTGCCAAATCTGGCATCACCCAGTCCCTGTGATATATGCCGATCCGTTTTGCATCCGCTCTGGTCATGCTGCCGTGATAAGTACCAAGGCCAACTTTGAAACACACAGAACGTCTTTTAAATATCATATGCGCAACACCAAGATCCAAAGCCAAGCAAATAAAATAGCAAAACCGTACCAAACCGCAAATCCACGCTCCGCACTCATAGTCTCGTAAGTCTTAAGACAAAAACAGAATCTGAGAACTATTTCATCCTGAGGGATAGCATCAGACAGAAAAAATTTGCGCGTGACAGAACAAAGCAGTGGTGCCATTTCAAATGGTAATGCATTAGGACACGAAGCCTGTAGCAATAAAGCAGAGAACTCAATCCTATGGCCTTTTCCCAAAGAGCCAATTCTTGCGTTTATTAGAAGTCGCATCAGGATCCGGACTCGGAACGGCGTCACGACTAGGAGCATCATCCGTCACAGCTTGGTCCCTGCTGATTTTACGGCCTAGTTCGCCCGAGTCCTCGTTTTCACGAAACACGTTGCCTGCACCACCACGGCCGGAATGCTGGGCACCGGAGCTGTATCGTCTTGGAACCCTGGCGAAAGAGGACATGTGTAAGCCGAAACGGTCGACGCTGGTCTGGATAGGGGCTCATCGTCTGCCGTCTACTTACGCTCCAACATCCTGTCTTCGCCGAGTCTCACGAGGGTCAGCATTCTTAGCCATATTTCCCGTGCCACCGCGACCCGTGGTGACGACCGGATTCTTTAGTACCGGTGTCTCGAGGTCTGATGGATGAAGTTTTGATGATTGGGAAGAGTCAACCATGTTGCCGGCGCCACCACGGCCGTGGGAGGACAGCTGGGGTGTCACTGGCGATCTGCTGGCTTCATTTTTCTGTGCCATGTTTTCGCTTCTTGTTGGAAAATTCTCGCAACCGCAGGAGGGCAAACTCGAGAGCGAGCGCGAGACGGTTGGTGTTTTGAAAACGATGATCCCTTAAGCTGTCAGGGCAGCGGGCAACTCTCCTCGCCACTTCGACACCTCGAGCTTAATCGCGCGGGTACAATGATAATAATAGGTTTCAAAAAGCGTCGAGATGGCCAATAGACCGGTCAAGAGGTCTAACAAGGCAGGTCTGGCGACTGCAGGTCGGGGGGCAGGGTTAGGGGAAGAAATTAATATTCGACCAGGTAGGTGCCCGCTTCCTGGTGGTGCAAGTGGCTGCACACCAGTTGACGGTTCCAGGCCGTTTGGATGGAGGATGGCCTGCGCATACTGCCTTCATCGGCTTGGTTTGGTGGTTCCTTGCGCCGACAAGGAGTCAGCCATTTGTCACAGCGTCCTTTAGGACTAGCGCTATGTTGCTTGTAAGTGAGCTCCTAACGTCAACTGACCGAGTCTGGTTGATCTTGACAACCCCCCCCCCCCTTTGAAGTTCCTCCCATTGCCTTGAACATGCAACTACGAGTATCCCTAGGTGGCCAATAAAATATAGTCGGAGACTACTCGCCTATGTGAACTATAAAATCCGAAGCCATGGAGCACGTGGTGATGCTGTTGTAGACCTAGGGATTTGGTATACGTGCTGTGGGCAAGACCTTAATTGGCATCACATTGGACCTCACCTATTGGGCATTCATATGATGGCTCCTTGCCCTGCGCACTGACGAATTACTAATGCTATAAGGCGAAGGAGATTCGATAATTCACATCCTCAAAAGTCTGTCCGTCTACCGACGCGTCCTAGAGCCATTGATCACCTTCGCCTGTTTTCATTGTGAATTATAGCATCTGGAATATACGATACATACCTACCTATGTAGAAAACGAGGATTACCTGTGGACTTGAGTTCCCAGAAGGTAGGCATATATATATTGCTTGGGAGCAGAGATGCTAGATGGCCCATAGAATGCCGTTGGGGAATTTCGTATGACGTATACTAACGCACTGATCCATGGCATCGCAGGAAGCGTAGGCAAAATCTTTTTGATATTGTACCTGAAATCTGGTCGTAAAAAAGAAACTCACAGTGAAATGAATAAACCAACACATTCCTTTTCCCAATAGCATAATATTATCTGGAAGCCTTCGTGCAACTTACAACTTACAATTCCACCGAATAAATAGCTAAGCATAAGCCGGTATTTTCCGCAACGTAGCATATTTCGTTCCTCACTCGTTTTCTGTCTATCCCCTTGGCATATTCGCCTCCCACCTCTCTCCAAATGGCCAGGAACGCCTGCAAGAACTACCTACACACCAAATGAGGAGCTTGAGTTTGTCTCTCCGCATATGTTTGTTTATCCCATTGTCTCCGCGAATATTGACGGAAGACACTAGTCGCCGTAGTCGTCGTCGTCACCACCTTTGACATTCGAGTCCTTTCGAATTGGTATTTTAATTCCTTGAGTGGCAAATGTCTTGCTCAATGGCGTGCTTTCACAAACACCGGGAAACTTCTTGGCCGAATATACATTGAACACGTCGCTAAAACAGCACGCCAAAATTGGGGCCCTGTTTTTGTTGATCTTTGGGGCACCAGAATCGCGAGGGGTGCCATCTGGCGGCCCGACATTTACAAAAGAGAACCGCAAGCTGTGGAAGTAAAATTAAGTTAATGCGTTGACAAAGACTAAATCATCCATGGGTATTCGTACCGGAAGGGCCCTTCTGTCCGGACACTGAGATCTTGAAGAACAAACCATATTCCGATACGATCATGAGTGTCGCTAAGACGGAATGCACTAGCTGCCAAGCTGCCGATCAGATTTCGAGTAAACATGCCTTGTGGCTGTCCGCCAACCATTGCCATCCTCGCCATAGGATTATGGTCTTGAACATAGCCCGTTGGGCCGGTAGAACCATTTCTAGTATACGGAGAAACATTCGACTGTGAAGGTAGAGGTGTGACATTCCCCTCAGGGCGGTATGATTGGTGATGAGGGAAATATTGCTGTGGTGGGCCATATGAGCCATTTGAAGGATAGGGCGGCGCTGTAGACAAAAAGTTCAGATGTATCTACTTCTTCGTGGCTACCATTTGGCAGTCATTAGGACACAAACGTATACGCACCTTGGCCGTATCCACCTTGTATCTGATAGTCCTGACCGTAACCGACAGTGGGGGGTGTATTGTACGATTGGTCGCGATTAGATGGAAGGACATGTTGCGTGTACGGGGCCATCCCGGTATCACCTCCATTTAAGGTGGTATATGAGTAAGGTGTAGTCGATGAGATCGAAGGGCTGCCTGTGGAGGAGCGAACAAGGTTGACCTCCTTTGTGCCGTCTTCATTCCAGAGATCAACGTTGAGGACAAACATGGAGTGGTCGATGTCACTAAAAAAAAGTGTAAGTTTGGCGAGATCACTAGAGGAGCTAGCTCACCGGAGGGAAGGCGCACTTGCAATCAATTTCTTTGCCAGTGGCAATATCTGTAATGATTAGACGGACACACGGAGGTGGAGTGATAGGACGTCGATCCTGAGTCTAGTTAGGAAGCCAACAAAAGACATAATGATGGCAAAACGGTGTCTTTACCTTATCGCCGAAACCGCACATTCGCGCTCGTCGGGGTTGTTGAACAACGTCGAGTCTGTGAGCCTGTATCAGTATCTCCCATCGGATGTAAAGAAATAAATAAGATAGACCTAGTAATACGTACTGGTACTTGCGACCAGTCACGTCGTCAATTTTCGAGAACGGGCTCAATATCTGCTGGGGATTCCCAAGAGGTTTCCCTGCGGGTGTTGAGGTTACACCACCAGCAGATGCTGGCTGTGTGTCATCTTGCCTGGAACGTGAAGGAGGTTGCATTTGTGACGGGGGAAGTTGGTGGTGGGAAAGCGGATGAGAAGGGTGCGACTGGACATGTTGAGAGAGTTGATGAGGTTGTGGGTTTGGGTGCGAATGATGAGGGGGTTGACTTTGTGACTGGCTGCCAGGTCGTTGATGATGTACGTCGTGAGCACTGAGCTGTGAAGGACGAGGCTGCGATGGCGGTAACTGTTGATGCTGCTGGTGGTTATGGTGACTGTGATAGCCATACATTGAATGGCCGGTGGTCTGGTGGCTTGAGGCAGCAGTTGAACCTGGCGGCGGGTACGAGCCGCCTGGAAGAGGTAACTGCTGCGACATGTCTGAGGGAGGAGGGTACGTCGACCCCATTTCGTCGGAGCCCGAGAGAGACTGTATACACAGAGCGTTGCAATATCGAGAAAAAGGATGGCGGAAACTATACAGCCTTTGTAGCCGTGCTCGCAATCGCGAGCTAGAGGTTTGCGATGTCACGGCGCAGCGCGGCAGTCGAGATATTGGTGGTGGTGTTGGGCGCTCGAGTGAGCTATTATCAGTCGAAGTTGCAGGGAATTTGCCGCTTTCATACTAGAGGCCGATCGGGCTCGGCCTGGGTAGGTTAAATGAAAGAAAACGGAGGCTTTTTTTTTTGGATCCCGTGTCGCGAAGGACTGCGACAGGAGGGCGACCTGCGTGGAAGGGAACGAAATACGGAGTAGAGGGTCGAGATATCATAAATGGCTTGATGTTGGGCAAATCTTGGACTGGTCGACACGTTGGGAACAAGACCCCTCAAGTGCCCACAGTACGACAGATTATTTCGAGGCAGACCAAGCCAGCCAACCAAACAGGGGGACTGGAGTGACACCAGCGACCAGCCGCGGGCGAGATGGATCAATGATGCTTTTGCAACTTTGAATGTTGTGGAGAAGCGAGATATGTACTAATGGTTCAAATGGTGGTTTCTGGAGCACTACGCCGGCGGCATAACCAGTCCAGTTCAATCAGTTGGCGTCCAGATGCTTGGAGGTGGCGCTCGCCCAAAAGACGGAGCCGCCGAGCGGATGCGCTTTCGATGTTGACCCAGCACTTTTGGCACACTGGGAAGATGTCAAGCATTTGACTGCTGAAGGTACCTTGTGATGGCCGGGTTTGAGACCTACAGTGTGCTCTAGACTGGAGCTTCTTACTCGCTTACTGAGGGACCCTGACCAGTGCTTTCCAGCTTCCCAATCCAGAGGTAGCTGGCGCTTCCAACCGCGTCACGTTGAGGCCGTGTTGGGCTTCCGTTTGGCGGCCAGAGAACGTTGCTCATGTGGCGTCAAATAACTGCTGGTCCGTCTCCAGTTGCCAGTAGAGCGCCAAACTGAGCCGTGAACGGATGTGCCGTGGACGCCTAGGCTGTCAAAATCGACTATGTAGGACATGTGCACCGGTTGGCCATCAAACCAATGAACACGCCATTGGCTTGCCCTCGACGGTTCCCTCGGACGATAAAAAAATGCTTGCACTCCCTCCGGGCCTAGGCAATGACTAGGTTGGTAAGTACTAGTAGCATCAATAAATATTACCCCAGTGCCATGTTGGTGCGCAGTACTAGTAGTAATAGTAGAAAAAGAGCCCCGGAAGTGCGAGTGTGCATGTGGATCTGGAGCCAATTTACGGCAACCACCATGCGGGCATTGATATTTGGAGCATGAAAGATGGTGGCTGGAGGATTGAACTAGGGTTTTGGATTGGTTGTGGTGGAACATGGAACATGAGTTACATGACAAGGTGGTCGAGAGAGCAAGGATAATGATCACATGCATTGAATGGACGGTTCGTCCCACGGATTGGCTCCTAGGCGCAATGATAACTACTTGCGGATATCGGAAGCAAAATCAATGCCCGCAACCCTAAAGTCATTCACACTACATACCGCTTAGGTAGCCCTGGAGGTCTGTGAGAGACGACGCCAAACGTCAATCGCAAAGGGTCAATCACAAAGGGTCAACTGTGGATTCAGGTTACTGGGGGCCAGGCATGATTTAACCACATGCAAGGACACATGCCAGGACGCTAGCCAAGTATTGGCCCAAACAAGTCTCCAAGTTGGAGTTGCGGCCATTCTTGGTCCTCTACAGAAAACTTCGATCTTGTCGTCTGGCGTGTCTACCCAGCTGCAATTAAAGGTAAAACTTGAACCTATCTACCCTCGAGCTGGTAGGATGAAACACTCTTCTGATGGGCAGGTGTCCCTTATTGGATGCCTACTACGTATTGCTTAATACAGTATGTCTGCTACATCGCTGTAGTACTACCCGCGGGGAACAACGGAGACAGTCTCGAGACTTGTCCAAGAGGGATCAAAGCTGCCAGACCTGGTAGGTTCTATCTAGGTGGGCAATGGAACTATTGAATGTTTGATGTATATACTACATACATAGGTACGTAATGGTGATAGGTACACTGCCAAAAGGCTTTGCCTTCACGATATCGCTGTTTCACTCCATAGTCAGTTTCCAGACTTTGTCATCAACCGCGTGCCTGATGTTGCATGTGGCATCTGGGCAGTCTGACTGCTCCATTTAGCCTCCTGCTGCTGGATTGTGTCAGGGAAGGGGGCGAGGGATGCTAATGCGCCAACACATCGGTTCTTTGCCCAATACGGAGTATTCACTGCCGAAATGTGTGTCGTGCTGACATTGTGTGTGTTGTTCGATGGATGAGGTCCAGTCATAATACCTGCCCCGCGTTCGGAACTCTCCTGGCTGCGGCAAAAGAAAAAACCGCTGCCGCCCCTCCATGAGCTAGTGATTCCTCCAATTTCCGCTCATCATCAATCTTGCGCGACCTAGACTGGAGAGATTCCTTCTGCAACAGAATATGGATCTAGTCAACCAGTAAGTACGGACAGATCTACTTTCTAGCTGGTGCCGCCATGACTCTTTTCTTCTCTTCCCCAAACGCCCACCATGCGGAGCTGCTTTTTCCGCGATACCGTCGCTGTATCAATCAGTCTTGCTGACCCGACCTTTCCTCAACCCAGCCTCGAGGGTCGCCTTTTGTTCGCGGTACCAAAGAGTGAGTGGTATTATACTTGAAATTTGTGTCGCTCGCTAGCATAGTGGGTGAAATCTTCAATGGCTGACTTCCATGGATGTAGAGGGCCGGTTGAACCAAGCTGCGCTGAATTTGCTAGAAGGTGCCGATATCCAATTCCGCCGCGAAAACCGACTTGATATCGCTCTCGTCAAAAATCTGCCAATTGCACTCATATTCTTGCCCGCAGCGGACATTCCAACCTTTGTCGGCCAGGGCCGCGTTGATTTGGGCATCACAGGATGGGACCAGGTCAAAGAACATGATGCGTCTGTGCGTGCGGTGACAAGCAGCGGTGTGGACATAGACGAGACGCCAGACTGTGAGATGGTTATGGAGCTGGGATTCGGCGCATGCAAGCTCCAAGTACAAGTCCCAGAGAAGGGTGAATACGTTACCGGTCAAGACCTGATTGGTAAAACTATTGGTACAAGCTTCGTGCACCTGGCTGCCGAATATTTTGCTCGACTAGAAGCTAAAGGTGCTGGCGATGACTCTTCACCCGGTCCTAGGCGAAAACCGCAGACCAAGATTGTTGAGCTGAGCGGCAGCGTTGAAGCCGCTTGTGCCTTGGGAGTCGCTGACGGAATTGTTGATCTTGTTGGTAAGTTTGAGCTGCAAAACGCCTAACCAATACCATCACCATCAAAATGTCTTGGTTGCTTTTGTGCTTATCCTTAGGACACGGGGTATCGTACAATGACAGTGTTGACATGTGGCCTGCAGAATCCGGCGAAACCATGCGTGCTGCTGGCCTCAAGGCTATAGACACTGTTGTGGAATCGACTGCTGTGCTTGTCAAGTCTCGGTCCCCATCAAGCGCGGACATGGTTGACCTGATTGCTTCGAGAATCCGAGGAGTCATTGCTGCTCAACGATACGTGTTGTGCCAGTACAATATCGAGAGATCGCGGCTTCCGGATGCTAGTAAAATAACCCCCGGTAAAAGAGCGCCTACAATCACCACTCTTGACGCTGAAGGATGGGTTGCAGTCAGCTCTATGGTGGAAAAGAAAAGGATTGCTCTCGTAATGGACGACTTGACTCGGGTTGGCGCGCACGATATTCTCGTCCTCGATATCCACAACACGCGATGAGACTGTCGCTATCTGGACGGCAACGGTTGTTATTGAATCGTAGTCCGTACTTCCTTCACAATCATTGTTCGCAATTGGCTCAATAGGTTAAGGACAGAAATAAGTGGCCAAGCTGCAGTCTTATTAAACCTGGTTTGGCAAGAGTTGGGGACCTAGTGCTGGAAAGACCCTGGGACACTAAACTAAATAGATTCCTCTCCCATAATTCCGCAAGCTGGAACCGGGCGACCAGCTAATTGACGTATATGACCCGTAAACACTGCCTCTATGCCAAGAGTGATGATGGCCACGCACATAAATAACACAGACTCTATAGGAAGCTGCTCGCTTCTCCATGTCGTCAGTTATCTGATCCGCCGCCTTTTGTCATAATGAGAGGATGTAACAAGCAGGGCTTCCGGACGCACAACTGACACCCCGGCTCTGTTCATCCTGGGTCCAGTCCCTTTGTCACAGGAAAATGGCAGTTCTAATTGCGAGGATGCAAATAGTCACCCTGGCCGTAGCACCCTGCGGTAGAACCCACGAGTTGCCAAACCAGAGGACCGAATTCAGCCACACTTCGTGCCATTTTGGGTTTCGCGCACCATAGGGTCGGCAAGCTCTTAACACGGCCCACCGGCTCGTCATGGTTAGTCGAGGTTGTTCGTCTTTCGCCACAACGGCGGATGATACGGAAGGGCGGTTGTTCCCAGCAAAGCGTTGCGTATTTAAGTAGGCATGTGAGGACGGCACGGCAGCAAAGTTACGCCTGACCAGCTCTGAGGACCAGAGTACCATTGCTTGTATCTTTCTTTCAGCATAGTCAGCGCTGATGACTTTGTTCGCCATTCAAATACACAGCTCACAGATGCGGTCTTGATCGGTATCTGCATTTTCTGGAGCTGCACATTGCAGTTGCAGTGCTTGCCTCGAGGGCAAGTCTTCATCACCCTTGTTTACTTCTCTCGGCTTACAGTACTACAACCTCTGCGATGTCAGATGGTGACTTGGCCCATGGGCGCAAGGTTGCGGAGTCTCGCCTCTCGTGGGGGGCGTCTTCTGTATACACGGTATGGCTCGATTCTAGGATGATCCAATGTGGCCGTAGCCTGGAAATAAGACCTTTGGCGTCTAACTAATGTATAGATTATTATGACTCCAATAAACTTTGTCTCCTTCCTGTTATCTCTTGTTATAGTCGACCTTGAG